TCAGTCAATATTAAAAATGACATCAAAGCTGGGAAAGACAATCTAAATTCGACTACAGATAATGTCACATTATCAAATACTTATTGCAATTCCGCTGCTAAATCACCTACTATTAAACAAGATTTTGATTTCTTAGATGATTCTGACGAAGACTTCATGATTACGGAAGATAATGTTCAGCAATTTAATGAGCTTGAAAGTTGTTACTTTCGCAACTCATCGAAAAATTTGAAAGACGATATTAGATACATGCCTAGTACATCGAGAAACTCAGTAATTAGAAATGGCTGTCTTGATGATACATCGGAAACCTTGAAAGTGGGAAACAGTTATTTTGATAATATCTCGAAAAATCTTAAACCATGTGGCATATCAACACCGAAAAATGATAGACATTCGAAATTATCTTTGAAACGAAATAAAGCCCAGCAGGACTCGAATACGATAAATTTGAGTTTCTTCAAAGCGCCTGATAAATATGTGAACAATACAGCAGAAAAAAATATTTTAAAATCTATCTCTGATACGCCAAAGCAAATCTTTCCTTTGAATGAAAAAATCATAAAGAAAAGCAAGCATAGGCTCAAACGTAAAAACAATGTCAAAAACGAGTTTATAGATGACGAAGCTGAAGTAGATTCTGATGTCAGTTCAGACGAGATCGTTACAGATAACGAGGATCTTGGAGATTTCGTGAGCTATACACAATTCTCACAAGAACAAGTCGATATGCATGCGCATTATCTGCAAACTGTTAAGAGCCCGATAAAGAAACCAGGCGCTTTTCATTTTAGGGAACCACGGTCACCTGCTTTAAATACAGAGATGTATTCGCAGCTTTCGTCGCCAATTCAAAATACCTCATATCTTTATGTGCGTATATTAACGTATTACAAATTTTACCTTCGACTTGTAAGAATAATCGTACAAGTCCAATTTATATATACGAAAATTTAATGAAATATTATTTAAATATCTATTTACTTATGATTTTAGGATTCGTTTTGCGTTGCGGAAGACGTGGAACCAAGCATACTTCATAATGATTTGTTATTAGATAGAATGGAAAGGAAATTGGAACAAAACAGACGAAAACGGTTCTGTTTTGACAAGAATACAAAATGTACTAAAAAGAAAAAGATGAATATTTTAAATTGCTCTGTGAGCAGCGAGGATGAAATCGAAAAATTGCGTTTACAAGTGCAGGAAGACTGATTATAAGTTAATAATAATCCAGCTGTGATGTGTCGGTGTATAATAAGTTATGAAATGTAGTGAGAAATTTATTTTCACATGTATAGAATGTAAATATTCGTTAAATATTCAAATGTATTTTTATACAACATTTTTGTAATAAAATTGTGTAAAGATCTATCTTTAATCAAATATAGGGTTTGATAAGGTGGATTCTCGACCCACTAAAAAAAATCCACTTAAAAAAGTCAAAATGGAATGCCGGTGTATTTGGAGTCAAAATTGTATCACTGCCACGAAGCGCGATTGCTGGTAGAACGTTAAAAATAATAGTTTTCGACGTACATCGAATTTTTTTTATAGAGAAATTTTCAAAAATTTTGATTTTTTCAAAACTAAAAAATTTCAAACGCACTATTTTTGTTCTATAAATCATAGAGTAAACAAACAAAAACTGAAATTTTTGCCTTGACACATTTGCGTGAAATTATTAAAAGCTATGTGTGACTTTTCTTTCAATTATTTATTAAATTATAGTATATAGAATTTATAATTTCTCACACACACACACACACACACACAAAAATGCTATTTTCTTGAAAAATTCATAAAAAGTCTATTAATAATTATAAATAACATTTTAAATTCTCATGATAAAATTTTCTTTCAATTTTTAGAAAATTTAAAAACTTGTTTAATTTATTTTTAGTTTTAATTTTCATCCTTCAAATATTAGTTGTAAATATTAAATGTATTAAAAATCTTATTTTTATTTTTTTGAGCAAATTTATAAAAAAATCTACGCATAATGAACATTTTAAGACCTCACACGTGATGGAATTATTTTTTGTCAAAAAATGAATAAAAAAATGAGTTCGAAGACTGATCGGATCGATTTTATATGGAATGTTTCTTATACAGATATATGTGCGTGTATATTATATTAAATAATAAATTAAATTAAATTAATTAAATTGAAATTAATTCATAATATAATTATCTATTATATTATATTAAATAGCGAATCTTGCTAATCATTAGTGGACTATAAAAAATAAAAATGCATAAAACCGGAAAAATAAATACCAATAAAATCCGGGTTTAAAAAAATTGTTGGTTTTTAAACCCAGATTTTTTTCAAATCCTAATCATATAACGCAATAATTTATAAGCGATAACGTATCTCTGTATTCTGGAATCCTCTTGCATGAAACATGGGTAGCTTTCTAACGAGCGATACTATGTGATACAGTGATCATTTAATCTTTATTTAACATTGGCGAACAACAAGGATGTAATGATTCATTGTGTTACACTGTGTCATCTTTGTCTCTTGTTGGAAAGCTCCTTTGATTTTCTCTCATTTACAATAGTTGCACAGTCTGTATCATAAATCGCAAGCTTGTTGTCACAAACTGTTACAGCCAATCTGATGCATCAATATTAAAATTGACGTTTCACATTGGCTGTCACAACATGAGGCCTGTTCATTTACTGAAAAATTTTCTAATGATACTCTTACCATATCTTTTCTAATAGTAATATGTATCTTTACAGCTTATATCCACTTAAGCTTTTACTGCGTATTGATTCATGATGATTATGTATCTATTAATGGTTGTGTTCAGCAGAAATCAGCGTTTTAGATTAGATTATGTAATATTCATATGCTGATTAAATTATGTAATATTCAAATGGATTATATAATATTCAGGTTTATGTATAAACGAATAGAAGAATAGTAAAAAAATTTTTCAAATCATAATTATGCATAAACGATTATATATTTTGTGCGTGCGTGCGAGCATACGTGCGTGTATTCATATAATTCAAAAAAATGGAATAAATATTAATTCAATTTTTTTATTGTTTTATTAAAAATAATATTATTTTATTTATACATATTAAGTTGTCGATACATATTTGTTCAGTAATGCGATGCAATATCATAAGATAAGACAAATGGTATTAATTGCATAAACAATGTCGAAAAAAAAAACATTTTGATATTGTTAAGTTATAATTAATCCAGTTTTATTGCTAAATAAATTTTATTGATTAGCATCATATTCCAAAGTATACACAACATATTCAATTATGATAAAAAAAATGTATTCGGGAATAAATTTTATGTTTCCACAGTTACTTATCCCATACAGTTATCCAATATCCATATCACTACTTCAGAGATAGTACGGGAATTGATGATCCATGAATGATGATTAAATATTAATATTCACACATACCTATGATGGATTTATTGAACAGGTATTGTCAAAAAGATAGAATATGCTCCAGTAAATGAGAATGGATTGAAACAGATTTAGATTTTCAGAAGTACGCTTCGTGAATTCATTCATCACGAATTCATGAAAATTTCGTTGGCATGATTTTTCATAACGCAGCAGTTTTGTCAGAATAAAATTTCTAAATAATATTTGTTAAAGATTTAAAAAATTCAATTTGAAATATACATTGTTTATAATTATTTTTAAAAACGTTTGATTACTTAAAATGTTGCCATACGTTGATAATGCCAAATGTTGATAATACGTGTATAATATTTCATGTTGCATATTTCTATATTATAATATAGAAATAATTATAAATTTTTATATACGCATATACAATATGGATCAATTTAATTCTTTCATGTACAATGTTATATTGTTTTAAACATTAATATTTCGAAATATTTTTCTCAATTATTAAACGATTTTTTTTTTAATTTAATTTTGCAAGAATGTACCGCTAGAATTCGCTATTATTTTGAAATATTATTTCAAACTTAATTATGTAAAAACATCAATATTTTTTATAAAAGATAAATATTTCTACTTTTCTACATCTATTTTAATTGTGCAATGTATAGTATAAAATGTTATAGTATGAAATTTATTAAAAATATCATTTGGCTTATTCATATCGCCGTTGTATAGAATAATGTGTCTAATGTAAACGTCATATTTATCTGGAAACATCAATAGTAAAATGACATAATGGCACTGTGGCATACCGATGATACAGAATAGTCTGACAAGATATAAATGATAAACTACATGTACAGAATGCGCAAAGATTTGTTTTTAGATACGAAGATGGAACCATTAGAGCAAATGGACAGAAGACATATCAGTAAAGTTACGTTTGGCCAGGTAAATGAGAACACCGCAAGAATGGCGGTCCATTTGGGCTTGATATATCTAAAGACCTTAGCTAACGGAGAACACAGAGCTCCCTCCAGGAGCCCTACGGAGAGAAAACCCCTACAAGGACAAATCTGATCGAGAAGGACCCTGAAATTCTGTCTTACACGGCATTCCAGATCTCTCCCTTAAAAAGGTCTGAAGAAAGTTGATGAGGGCGGGCAATCTGGACGGATTGCTAAGCCAATTCGTTCAAATTGATTCCCACTACCCCAAAGTACGAGCCTTGGAATGCTTTTGGACTTCCTCCCATTTGTACGGAGGAGCTTTGTAATGAGAAGTATATAAGAACTGAACGCCAGTTCTCATGTTGCAGTTCCAAATTCTTGCCGAGCGATATTACTTCGATTGAGATCGTTGAACGAACAGTATCTCGTACGTAAGAAATTTCATAAAACTAAATTATATATATATTAATAATTAAACAGATAACAATTAAATAATTAAAGAAATAACGTTGCAATATAACTGCAATTATAATTTAACATTAAATAATAATAACAGATAGGTTATTGAGTTAAATATTTATTTATTTCTTCTTTTCAAGTAGATCTTGAGCGCTTTTTCTCAAGTTTTTCTGGTCCTACAAAGTGAGAAAAGATGAAATTTCCTGCAGTGATCATTTGTTTACTTGCTCTTGCATGTGTGCGAAACACTATGGCATATGCCTATAGCAGGCAGATCAGACAGGCACCGACGACACTAACAACGGTACCGGCGGCACCGATGGCACCGGTGGTACCGATCACAAATTATAACAATACTCAATCTCCTTATTCCTATCCTACCTATCCGGTCTATCCGAGCAACGTAAATCAGATCGGGCAACCTGCCGCCCCGGTAATGAATGTGCCTGAGACTACCATATCGCCGCCTACCAACAGTACCAGCGTATTGGATACTTCCGCCAATCAATCTTTCCTTCAGCAGATGAAGACCTATAGCATCTATATATTGCAAATATTGATGACAGTTTTTCTCGGCGGGACCTTAATAAACTACATTTGTTTGCAATGGTCTTTCTGCGACAATGTCTTTGGAGAAAACAACTTTTGGAAAACTAACAAGGTAAAGCAAAATATATTTATTTATTTTTTCTTTTTGAATATGAATCTCGAAGCACTTTCAAAATTTGATAATAATTATTACCCATCTTTATCGTAGCGGATAGATCCTAATAAGAGAGAACTTAATTTATAAATTAAAAAAAATGTTAATCTTGAACCGAGAAGTTTTTGTCTTTCTTTATATGTGACGCGTATCTTAATTATAGTATATTAAATTTGAATTAATTATTTTTCTTTTCCTTAAAAGCACTTAATAACAAAAGTAATACTAGAGTGTCTATGAAAGAGCAATGAGCTTAGAATGCTGACAGTGCAATTAAATCTAAAAGTAATAATAATAATAATAATAACAATAAGAGCGTAATCAATCAATGTATTTTATTTAAATTCCCGCAAATCTTCGATCAGAATTAATTAATTTTTATATTTCTTATGCTGTATTCATATTTCGTTAATTATACCGAGTAATTCTAATGCATGAATAGACATAATGTTAATTATTTTTATGAATAATGAATGAATGTGCATGTGTGAGCTTCGATATTTATTTAAGGAAATAAACATGGAAGTTTTCCAGTTAGGAGACACACAGTGTGAGACACAGGAATGTATAATGTTATTTGTTGTTTAAAAGGGCTGCTATTTTTACAGCATACTAAAATTTTGTATCTATTCTAATAGTTGATAGTCTATTTGATACACCTTAATTCTAGCAACGAAACATGTATGATACAGTGTCTTGTAGTTGAAACGTTGTTTAGTCTTTTTACTTCATCACCATAGTGAAAAAAAAGGAAAAGATTTCACACACATATATCAAAATATTAATTATTGAATGAAATTTTGAAACTCTTATCAAAATATTACTCCTAAAAAAATAACGAAATGTAAAAATTTGGTATCGTGAAGTGAAAATGGCGAAACCATTGAACACAGTATCGACTTGTGTTATAGGTGGAAAGCACGAAATCGTACACTGTTTTATATAGTATCGTCTGTGTACATTACTAAAGAGCACCCTTTTTAACGTAAATTTATATCATGTGTCATTGTTAGAAAGTGACACACTGTGTTGAACACTGTGTCACTTTGTATCGCCTATGTCTCTTGCTGGAAAGCTCCCTTAACTAATTACCTGTAGACTTAATGATTTGATTGTTTGCACAGGCAACGAGTCGTTCGTACGCGACATCGAATTATGTGGATGATATCAGCTTGGCAGTCTTCAAAGCGATAGATTACTATACTAAGCAACAAAATTAGGAATTGAATAAAAATAAATTATGCGAAAATTTTGTAATACTATTTATGTATTTTTTTTACAAAATAAATAACAATAAATAAAGGGCAAAGTAAGAGTTAAACATATTTCTTTAAAAAAGTCACAATTAAAAAAATAAATTACAAATAGAAAAAATATATAATAAAATAAAAACTCAGTTTAAATACATATTTTTTTACATTTAACGTTTACTTTATTTATTATTATTTTGTATACTTTTTTAATAATTCTTTTTACAATTTTTTAAATACTTTATATTCTCTTATCTTTTTATAGTGTTATGTTTATATTTGGCTTTTTCTGTATTGCGAGGAAATTATACGTGTCAGACGATGATATTTGCATAATGATATATTTGTACACAAAACATTTTCAATATATTGTAAATGATATCAATATGAAGCATTTCTTATCGATTTACATATCTATTTGACGGCGTCATTATGAATAAGTATTTAATATCTATAATTTCCACATCCTGCACACAAAGCATGATATCATTTTTAATTGTCGGGAATTTTTGTTTGTTTTAAAATGCGGTTGTTTCCCATATATTCACTTGAACATCGTCACGCTTGATCATGTTATCGAACAATCTTGCCGGATACAAAATTCTAAGTATTCCGAAGTTTCTCTTAGTAGAAATATTAACGTCATACAAAAGTCATCGTTCCTTCTTTGGTTTCATAGTTACAAAGGAGAACATTAAGGAGCAGCACTGAAAATTAATTAGACATTTAATTAGGCAGTTAAATATCTATAATTAATATTTTAATATTTTATTTTTATGATTTGTTTTGATTCTTTTTTTTTTAATAATTAACTTATTTAATAATTAATCGTATGCTGAGAAAGACTTAGGATAGTCGAAACATTTATATATTAATTTATTATTCTTTTTACATTTATTTGAGAACAAATATATTTTCACTTTATCTGAAAATTCTCGATTTGCTTGTATTATCTTTCTTTAATTGTTTTTACACGCAACCAACTTGTTTAACTAATAGCTTAAATACTCATAAGTTAATATACGCTTTTGCGAATATATTAAACGATGTCATTGTATTTTTTAAATATATATTTGTAAATAATTTTTAATTCCTTTACATTGATATTATATCTCTTAGTACACAGAAATTATCTGAGTGAAATTTAAAAAATAAACTCGATTTAATCTCAGCTTGATTGCAATTGCATTTCCATGGTTACAACAGGTTATTATTATTATTATTATTATTATTATTCATATATTTATAAACCTGTTACTTAATTTTTTATTATTATTTATTGTTTTAAAAAAATCTCCATTTTAGCAGTTTATTTTCAGTTACATGTGTAATTGTAGAATCTGAAATTTCCTTTATCGCGAGATCCTTTTCTCATTTCTACACGATTCCGCAGAAGTTTATGATAATATATACATATGTATATGTGCATATGCCAGTGTTATCAATAAATGTTAACAATACATTTTAACACGTGTATAAGAGAATCGTTCGCTCCTGAGTCATATTCACTGTTTCCTCCTCCTGTTGGTGCGATTTCCCCGCGCGTCTCTCTACGCTCGCGTGTTACTGCGTGTTACCACTACTCTTTCTCGCGGATGGGCTCTATAATCCATTGGATCGTCAGATGCTGACCGGTTTTGATCCGTACGCTGGTCATATCGCAACCGGTCTGCTCACCGGGCGCATTATAAAGTAAAATCACAAAAATCACGTACGTTAATTCGTAAAGTTCTACCCGCAGAGGCTACAAGTCGTAACGCAAAATTGCTTAGTGATTTACCGATCATGTGGCTCCAATTGAGTAAGTAACATATCTTCTTATTCATATTATATTAGTAGATTTAAAAAATCTATTCTTTCCTATTTTTTTCTGAAATTATTAAATAATAATAGAAATGTAATAATTGGAGAGTGTAATTGAAATAATTACACTCTTCAAATTTGTCGGATTAAAAAATTTTAAAATTTCTGCATTCCGCGCGCGATTGAAAAATATAAAGTTTTTAAATAAGTTATGAAATTATTTTAATGTACTTTTGTTAAAAAAATCTACATTAAAAAATTAAATTTTCTCAGACGAAATTTTGCAGAAAAATGTGGAAGCTAAATGTAAAAGTAAAAGTACAATGGGTTCGAAGGCCAACATTAAGATTCTTGAAATTGTCTTTTTTTATAGACTACAAAAAATTGAAGGTTTTGTTTGTATAGATTTGTATAGGTTGCTGACCGCGAAAAATGCGGTTTCCGTTCGGATAAGCATTAATGTGGTCGCTATTATCGATTCATATCTAGGAATGTATGTTGAAATTGTGAATTCTATGTACAAAACACGAATTATATGTACAATACGCTTGAAACTAAAAATTTATTATTAGGCACATAATCGTATAAAATTCTTAGAAACAAATATAATATTTCTTTAAACATTGACAAGAGAATCATTAATGAAGAGAAATAACGTTATTGAATAATAAAGTAATTTAACATCAAAGAAACTTACAATTAGACCTAGCAAAAATTTAAGGATATTTAATACGCATTTTTTAAATAATAGAAATTAACACAAATTGGTTTTTCTATTATTATGTCTAAATATATATGTAAAGTTTGAGCATAATTCTTTTATTGATTTAAAAGTTATTTAATTTTTTTGTTTGTCTCGATTCTCTCTTATATTATATAAAAATCGCGTTTTATAATATTTATTTAATAAATTTAATAAGGAAGTAATATTAAGAATAAAATCAAATTTTGTACATTAATAAAACTAATAAAATATTATTTGCACAAACAATAAATAGTTATGTAAAAATTTAATTTAAAGTATAAGTGAAATTATTATCACCCTCAAAATATAACTGCGTTACCATGAATGTTACTTAAAAGTAAATGTAATGTCGTTACCCATTCGTTATTGAAAAAAGTAATTTGTAACGGTAACAATGTTACAAGTAATATGTTACTTGCTAATCCTGCATATATATATATATATACAAATAATATATAAAAGTTTTTTATTTTCAAGGATATTTAATAAAAACACGATAAATCATTCTGTTAAGCAAAGATTGGTTTTAAATTGAACAGATAATTTATAAATGAAAGAATCGATTATTAATGATAAGATTCTCTTCAGGATGTAAATTATAAATAAAGAAATCTTAATTACAGGTTATTTATTGTGCCTCTTAATTGCGGTGGATTTTATAAAGGAAGATATCTGCGCGGTGGCACAAAATCCCGCTCAAACAAACATTTCTTCACGAAATAATCCTCAAGTTGAAGATGATGAAGATTTTGTGCCCTACCAGGGTGAACGCTTCACTGTATTCGATTGGATGCTATTTAGGGTACTTTTTATAGAATGCCCCTTACTTATTAGTAATGATTACATCTTATATATTCGATCTTATATATCTAAAAAATAAAAATTAATTATTATCTAATCGAATCAATCCTTAATGGAATTCTAAAATCATCTGTTTTACCGACTCACTAAGGCTTACACACATATCACGTGTCATCGACACATCATTATATACGTATTATACTATATTATACATCAATATCGCACATACATACGTAAATTTTTGATATTATTAGGATATTAAATATCTAAAGTTCAATTGTATTAATGTTACTTTAAACGAAACTTAAAACTTTATTTAGAGAAAGAGAGAGAGAGAGAGAGAGAGAGATCGAAGCTTCGCTTAAATTAAATTAAAATAATGTTGATGTAAACGGAGTTAAGAGTTTAATTCTAAGAACTTCATGTTATTTTTTTATGTAATCTGGTTTAGTTTGTAATTGTAGCCTTCAATTTTGTAAATACAGATTGCTAAGTTTTTATATCAAGTAAATGTATAATACTTGTCACAACTTAACAATTCAATAAGCCATATTGGACTGAAAAATGGTAAAGATCTCGATTTCAAAATTTTTTTCATTTTCTCATAAATTTCACATTAATACAGACTACTATTAATGCTAATATATATTTTAATTCTGAAAAAAATTTAATCTGTAA